GGGTCCGCTGTTCTACCTAGGCGTTTACCTTTCTGCCATGCACCCTTCTCCACCGGAGAACTGGCAAAATTTAGAAGGCGGGGTGACAGAGCGGCTCCGGAAATGGACGAGGCTACTCCGATGTCTCTCCCTCTGAGGGAGAGCGCTCGTGCTTAACCAACTAGTCCTGTCCATGCTCTGGTACCGGCTCAACATCCTGGTCCCGGCCCCGGGTTTCCTGACCAACCTCCGGACATCGATTCTAGATTTGTCATATTAATTTGTTGAAACCCTGGAAGGTACAGGAAAGCCTTTTCATCCACCCCAGGGAGGGAGAAGAGGATCTGGGGCCTCAACTCTCTAACCCAGCTGAAGGGTGGGGATAAAGGAGCTAATTTAGGAGAGAGACTTAAAATGGAACAGGTGGGTTTCTGGAAATAATCTAGTCTTTTTAATTAATGTTGAATTAAATAAACCCACTTCTGAAGAAAGGGACTGAAATTCTGCTGCTGTTGGGAGCCATATTGAGTGCCCTGGCTGGTGAATTGGGCCCCACTGTCTTACAGACTCTGTCATCTTGCTCCTCCTACAGCAGCTCCCCCTTTGGATGGCCCTGAACACTTCAAATGCTTGTAGATGTCTTATCTTTTCTTTGTTTAGTCCAGTGACACATAAAGTCAACATTTACCCAATAGAATGAAATGGAATTTCAGTAAACAAGAGAAAGAAAAGGTACAAATTAGGTGCAAAATTCTTCTTTGTTGTATTGACTTTTCTCCAGAGAGGCAGACTTTCGATGGGGGCTGCTATCCCATAACTGATGAGGCAGAATTAGGATGGACTAGGTGTTCCATGATAAACCATTCTGAATATCTAGTCATAATACGGCAATTGTTTAATTTGGATAATCAAGGGAAATTCCATGAAATTAATACATGTTGAGAATGCATTACCTTTTTGCTTTTTCAGATAAGTGAGTTTTACAGGTAACTGAGTCTTGCTTAATCAAGATTTGATGGTGTTTAGTTCTGTTCAACTTTCTTTAAAAGAAATCTAAGGACCAAGTGGGTAAGAGGACTATAGAGTATAAGGGTTATGGCCCTCCCCTACCCCATAGCGTGAAATAACATACTTAGGGACTGATATCTTTCTTGCGTGCCTTGCCTTTCTTATCTCATATTTGGAGGGAAATATGGCATGCAACATCGAAAATGGACTGTTGTTCACGTGTCCGTGTCTCAGCTCCAGTCATGGTTCATGGTGGGAACTGTCACATGTGACGCTCCACTGGTGCGTCAATCATTTTGTGTATTAACATTGAGGACTTAAGAAAAGAGAGAAATAATGAGTGTCCATGTGCAGTGGCTCTTGCCAATGATACCAATGGAGGATTTTGATTGGCCCTTTTCCTGTGTTCTTCTAGGAGAAGCGTCTTGACCAAAAAGTGCAAAAGGGCTCCCTGCATGTCACTCTTCTGTCATTCAGTAACAAAGCATGATGTATCCTTGGGGTTTGATCATGTGAAGTCCCTTGGAGACAGGGTTGTGTTTAATAAAGTTATTTTGAATGACTTACTTCTGCGAAGGGCAAATTAAATTGTAATGTAGGTACTTTCTGCTTCATTAATGAAATATACACCAATAGCAAACCGTTTGGACTGTGGCTGAGGGCAATATGATTAAAATGGGTCAAAAATAGGAAAAAAAGTAGCTAGAAACTTTGGGCATAGTTGAAAGTGTGTTCTGTCTCGCGTTTCACAACAGTTTGGCTTTTTGCATGTTCTGATTTTTTTCCCTCAGAATATTTTTCTCAGCAAAATTGTTCAGCTTTGAATTGGGATACTTTCAAAAATGAAAGCTTTGATTTTGATATAATCTCACCATGTGTCTGAGCTGACCCGATCAAAACTGGCATTTTAATAAAAACAAAACAAAGTGTGGGAAAAATACTTTGAAGAACAAGCAACACGTTACACTTTTTATTTAAAGTTTGCTTTGAATTTTTAAAATGTAATATTTCAAAAGAATATTTGAAAAAAAATAACTTTGATATTTGATATAAAAAATCTTTTGCTCAAAAAATTCTGACTATCTTTAAACGTGACTTGTTTTTCTTTCTTTTTTGTTTATAACTTCACTTGGTGAAAATATTAATTTAATTCTTTGGTGTTGTCTGTCTTTTAAAACAACTACAAAAAAACTAGAATGTTCAGAAGAAATTTCACATGCCTGTAGTTAATGTCTTCATTTTACTGTTTGCCTTGATACAAGATAAACTTCCTCATTGCACTATTTGCCTAGATATAAGATGAAGGGATAGATTTTCAAAGGATTATATGGCATTTTGATCCTAGCCTACTTCCCATTGACTTCCAATGGGAATTAGGCACCTAAATATGTTTACACATCCTGCAGAAGTGAGCCTCCCATCCTGGGCTGTCAGACTTGGGTTAGGGGGCAATAGCTGTGTAGACATTGCTTTGACTTTGCAGGTCAGGCTGGAACTCTGAAGCCTAGGGATGGAGTGTGCTGTCGACCCGGCCCGGGAGGCTCACTTCTGTGTATTGTCTAGACATACCCTAAGTGTGCCTTTGAAAATCTGTCCTGAACACCTTCATTTTGCTGTCTGGGGGAATTTGTGAAGAAAGCTGTTCTGTGATCGCTTTAAAATACATTCCTCTAAAAAAATCCACTCTTATTTGTAATTACATTCTAAATAAATAATATTTTTATACCAATATAATTATTTTTCTGTCATGATCTGATGCTCTCAGCACCTCGGATACTCAATACTGGGTCAGCTCTGGCCTGCTTATGGTATCTCTCAAGCCTGGAGGAAGGAAGATGGACACCTTCAATGGGAGTGGGCAGGGTGGAGACTCCAGCACTGTTGGGGGAAGATAAGTTGGCACTCCAGTGGTAAGAGGGGGAAATTCTAGCCACCAGGGATAGTGGCTATTACAGTGGAAAAACAGTAAGTAAACCAATCTGCTATGTGGTAAAACACAGGGAAATGAATCCTGTTGGGAGAGCAATGGGAATATGAGTTAGAATGACACCTAGGTGAACAGACTCCCAGTGGGGTAGTTCATGTGTGCATATGCATTGCTATATTGCTGTCTGCAGGGTTGTAGCCATGTTGGTCCCAGGACATTAGAAAGACAAGGTGGGTGAAGTAATATCTTTTATAGGACCACCTTCTGCTGGAGAGAGAGAGACAAGCTTTCAATCTTACACAGAGCTCTTCTTTAAGTCTGAAGAAGCTCTTCGTAAGCTCAAAATCTTGTCTCTTTCAGCAATAGAAGTTGTCCCAAGAAAATATATTACCTCACCCACCTTGTCTCTCTTGTTATATTGCTGTCATTCCCAAAAGACCCGATAGGGATTAGGGACCTTTCGTGGGAGGTGCTGTGAAAGCACATAGGAAGACAGTCCCTGCTGCAAGGAACTTACAACAAAGTTGCAGGAGTGCCACTGTGGAAGGATTGAGTGACTTGGAGGGAAACAGGTTGACTCTTGGATAGGGGCTTTGCCGGTCACTGTATGCAGAGGGGTGGCATGAGACACAGGGCTGGTCTACACCCAGCTGTACAAACTGGGTTGACAAGTATCCCTGGCCTGGGGACGAGCATGGAATGCCAGGACTGACTGTTCAACTGCCATGAGGGTTTAACGCCTGGTTTATTCCAGAGGCAGAGATAGGAGGGGGCTGAGCCCTGGGTTGGTCAGCGTGTAACTCTCCCAAACCAGCTCGCCCCAGGAGTTAGTGAGGAGGATCAAAGAATCTCAGAGAGGGACTGGAGACCGACTAAATTAACTTCTCCCACCCCCACTGCCCTGGACTGAATTTCCCACTTACCCTCAGAAACATGGGGGTGGGGGTGGGGATAGGGGATGTCAGGCCAGGGTAGAGCTTGGATCCCACTGCGATAGGTAAAGCTCAGGAGAGGATGATCCCATGAGAAGAGCAGTGTTTGTTTGTAGGGCACGAAGCCCTGGGAAGGGGCTCTGTAACAGGTGTATGGGTGTTGAGGACTAGGATCCAGATTCTGGTCCCCACCCTAACCACTGTATGCCCTTAGGGCTGTGTATAGGGGCTGTGATGGATGAGGGAGCATTCTCCTAGTGCAGGCTCTGGTGTAGGGGCTGTGCTGGAAGTGGGAGGGGTGGGAGGATTCTGGGCTCCAGGATTGTTGGGGTAAATGATAGCAGCTGCTAGGATTCCTCTACTTTGTGCTGAGGGCCATTCCATTCCCTATAACTATGCTTTCTGTAAACAACACCTCTCCGGAGGCACAGCCCAGAATCTAGACCTAGGGATCCGGAAACAGAGCAGCTTCATGCCTCCAGGAGTTGGATTCCTGCAAAAGTCTGGAATCCACTTCCCCCTAGAGAAAGTGAGAAGAAGAAACTAGAGACAGACACTACACATAAATCTGAACAGGAACCTTTAGGTGGCGGGAAAGTCTAGAGAGAGCAAGTACAAGAGAATCAGAGGAGTATCTTACTCCCCTTTACTGCACCAGCTGCTGGTTTTATTCTGACAGGAGATGATGGCTATCTGAGGAAGGGCAAGGAGGGGATTTCCCTGAGGCTCACATAGTAGGAAAGGTTTGCCATTGGGGAGAAAGTCCTGGGGACATGGGCTACAGCTGGAGAGGGCAGAAAATGCAAAAGACAAATGCCCAGTTATTGGGGGATCTGCCCCAGATCCTCAAAGTTATTTACGTGCCTAAGTCCCATTGATTTCAATGGCAGTTGATTTCAATGGCATCTAAATACCTGTGAAGATGAGGTCCAATGTGCCTGCATTGAGAAGCACTAAAGAAAGTTGTCCTGTGTAGGAAGCTCTGCATTCAGGGCAGTTTCCTGCCTCACTACATTTCCCCATTTTTCTCCCAGGAGTTGGGTTCCTCCAAAGAACTGAACTTCTCTTTACATCTCCACTTCCCTTAAGATCTCAGAGCTTCTTCAGCCAGTGGGAAACCAGTTCCTAAGAACACAAACAGCATTGTCTTCTCAATGGATTTACAGAATAAGAGGAAATCTCCAGAGCATCTAGCCAATGAAGATGGGGCCCAGCTCCATATCCATCAGGCAGACGGGATCAGAATTTGTGACCACTTCCTCCTTGGAAACTGTCCTGAAGGAGCTGGCTGCCCACTCCACCACACTCGCTATCCCTACCACTGGCAGTTAAGGCAGAGTGACAACAAAGCCTGGCAGAGTTTGAGTGACTCAGCTCAGCGGCACCTGGAAAATCTTTACTGCAATGTTAACAAAAGTCATGCTAATTTTTTGGACAAGTAAGTGATGGAAAAATTCCAGCCCCAGCATTTCCCAGCAGGAGATGCTATAAAGAACAGCACAAGAGAACTAACTGCAGTGAGGTCACTTCAACACAGGTCCTAGCCTTGTACAGTAGGAGACAAGGAAAGCAATGGGGCAGATGTTCTAGTTGTTCTGGCACAGGTTGTCTTCCCTTACTGGAGGAACTCCAGGGAATGGCGAAGGGGCTCCAGCTGTGGCGAGCTCCCTCCCAGCTATGCTCCAGTACTAGCCACTCTCAGCCGGAGGTGCTGAACAGAATGGTAGCATTGGCTGTGAGGAGTACATAGTTTCTCCAGCCCCAGTCTCTCCCAGTGGAGGGCATTATAGGGGATGGTGGAGGAGTAGTGCCTTAGGGAGATCACCGCTACTGCAGGCTCACTCTCCCAGCGGTACGCATGCTTGTAACTATTTATTTATTTATTTTTCCTCATAGCAATAATTCTTCTGGGAAACTTGCCCTGACTTCCTTGGAAGTGATAACCTCTGAGACCTATGACAAAGCGAGGCGTCTTTCCAACACCTGCGATCCACAGCAGAACCCCCATTTCCCCACACAGTGGGCAGTGTTTTGGAAAAATGGTGATAAATGGATAAAATACAAGGAGGTGAGGGAAAGAGGATGAGGCCTCATGGTATGATGTTCTGGCTGGTGTCTTTCATGCAAGCTGTCTCCTCAAATAATGCTTCACTGCAATAAATGCAATTACACAGGGTCGGTGAGGGGGGTAACTGCAGAAAGGCTTATCCAGCCACCAGGAGCTGCAGGAGAGAAAGCTGTTGTGTTGACTCTAGTGTGAGACTGAAGAGGCCAAGAGTTTGTGGCATACACATAGAGAAGTTAAATAAAAGCATAAATACTCTTACTGGAGGGTTGCAATCAAACACTGCTTTATTTCTTAGAATTCAGAATGATAACAAAAAATAACCCCAGACAGAGAGACACAAAGCTGTCCTTCTACAGACTGGCTGCTGCTAGACCCAGACTGCATGCACCCCTACAAAGCCCCATAGCCAGGGGCTGGGCAGACATTGCCTTCAGTTCCCCTCCCCTCCTTTGGTAGATCAAAGGGCTGCCCAAGCAGACCCTGCCTCTTCAGTGGGGGGTGGGAGGATGGGCAGGAAAGCCAAGACCCAGGCGGCCACTTCCTTCTCCTTCCCTTTACCCTTCAGCAGCTGTAACAGTTGTAGGGTGCTTATCCCATGTGTCCCACATACACCTGGACTAGCACATAAATGGTGCGAAGGTGGGCTGTTCCCAGCCTCTGCTACCCCCACAGCTGCTGCTTATCAATCTCTGGGAGTGCCTGCTTGCCTCCTCCCTCTCTTCTTGCTGAGTATCGGGGGAGGAGACATTAGTGCTGGTCCTGACCTTATTAATGCAGGATATTGAGGGTGAGGAGTGCTTGATGCTGTCCTGTCCTACCTCCTGCTGTTGTTTTGGGGGAAGAAGAAAGGGGCTGGTACAGACACCTCCTTCTCCAGAGCTGCTGAGGAGTTTCTCACTGTGGACTCTTCCTGAGGGATTCCTAAGGGGGCTCTTTCTCAGAGTCCAGGGACTGGGTTTACATTAGCTAGTGGAGGAGAGCTTCCAGAAGCCCCTAAATCTTCCCTCCCACAATTACTCTTAAATCATATTTATATTGCATATTTCTAACTATGGCCTCACTCTTTTCAAAGCAAGGGTCAGGGGTACAACAACCCTCTCACTGTAGAGAGGGTGACTGGAAGCGTTGACGGCAGACAGAAGAGAGCAGTGGGCTGAGAACTAAGGCTTGTGGGATTCCGGGCACAAGGGGCCATGGCACAAAGGGGTAGCTGTCATCAGTGAGAGAGCAAGAGCACAACTCCATGGATAGGAGTGGAACCATGACAGGAGGGAACCAGAGATGACTGCATAGCTATGAACACTGTTCAGGAGAATACAGCTCTACAATGTTAAATGTTGCTTTGACAATACAGCTGATGAAAGCATATGCAGCAGAAATTAGGGTGTTTTGGAGGGTGGGTAGGTTTTTTTGCTGCCTAGAGAGGAGTTGCTCTTCTGCTCTACCCAGAGGGAAACCCAGATAAAAAATAGGCAAAGATGTTCTTGAGTAAGGCCATGTCTACACTACAGAGCTTACAGCTGCACAGCTGTACCATTGCAACTGCGCTGCTGTAAGGTCTCTTGTGTAGCTGCTCTATGCCAATAGGCGAGAGCTCTCCCGTCAACAAAATTAAACCATCTCCAATGAGTGGGGGGTAGCTATGCCGGCGAAACTTATGTCGTTCGGGGGATGCTTTTTTCACACCCCTGAGCGACATAAGTTTTGCCAATATAAATTGTAGTGTAGACATGGCCGATGAGATGGTTGGAGAGATGAGTGCAGATTTCTTCAGCAGTTTGCTGAGAAAGGGAAGGTTAGAGACAGGGCAGAGGTTGGAGTGCGAGGGCCAAGAAAGTGTTGTGTAAGTCTTGGTCAATGCCTAAAACGTAGGTTGACCTAGTTACATCACCCAGGAGGTGTTAAAAATACACCCTCCTGAGAGACTTAGTGAAGCCAGCCTAAGCCCTGGTGTAGACACCAGTAGGCTGACAGACCAATTCTGCTCTCAAGGGGGTGGATTTACTACAGTGACAGAAAACCCCTTCTTTGCTATAACAAGTGTCTACACTGAAGAGGGGTTACTGCAGCACCGCAGATGTGCCACTGTAGCACTTGTAGTGCAGACATACCCTAAGAAGGGGATGGATGAAGACAGATTTGAAAGTGTTGGGGAAATTAGCAAAAGCAAAGGAATGATGATAATAGGAGAGAGCCATGACTAAAGGAGAAGCAAGTGGGTGAAGAGAGACTGAGCATCCATATGCAGAATGACTGCCCTCAAGCACTCAGAAAGCGTGGGGTGGCCTTTCTCCAATGAAAGGCTAGAGTGCTATTGAGGGAGCATTGTGGAGGCACACCTGATTTTTTCCTTTATCCTGTTTATCCTAACATCATATCTCCACCTCTTATTCTCTCTGTGCTCAGCCCATCTGCAGTGATCTCCTCACTGCCTTTGAGGAGGACAAGGAACTCCACAACTTCGAGCTCTGGGGCAAGCACTACAGCGTGGATTTGAAGAGGTTTGTGCAACATAACATGGAACGGGGATACGTTCGCCACATCCAGCGCAGGCCTTCCTACCGATCACTCCTCGATATGATGCCATACCTGCAGTAAGTGACTCTACTGGCAACAATGTTCCTACAGGCATTTCAACAGCATGTGGGAAAATAAATGTTCCCCTCTCGTTATCTCCTTAGGATGATCCCAAGTAAAGCCAGTATATCCTCCTGTCCTACTCCTGCCATCCCTGGGGAAGATCCCATGGATGGTTACTATGGTCCATACCCCGCTGCTTGGATTCCACAGCCATCTGTTGATCAGGCTTTCCTGCAAATGGAGGTGACGCCATCAGAAGCTGCATACCGCTCAACTTGTGTTCTCTTCCACCAGTCTCTTCCAGAGGATGAGGTCCTGGTGCTGGCAATTTATAGGATCCGGAACGAAGATCTCTGGCAAAGATATACCAAGTAAAAAGAGAAGTGGATGTTGTTAGAGACAACAGCCTCGGAGTGTGAATTGCAGTGCTAGTGCTCAGGGTTAAGCATCCCACCATCCTCAGAGGTTGGAAATATGAATGTGGAGCTATAGGGTGTGGCTCCTACACACAGAGGCAGGGACTGTGAATGCCAATGCCAGCAAAGGATAGGAGTGTGAATCCCAGTGCTAGTGCCACAAAACCCATTGTGTTAATAAAGAGTTCCAGCCTCCTAGATACTTACGTGGTCCCCATCACCACAGTATTTGAGCACCTCACTATTTTTAATGTATTGACCCTCACAACATCCCTGTGAGGCAGCCAAGTGCTATTATTCACATTTTATAGATGTGGAACTGAGGCCCTGATCCACAAAGATATTTAGGTTTCTTAGCTTCCACTGATTTCAGTGGAAATTAGGGGCCTAAATACCTTTGTGGATCTTGGCCTAAACCATTTCCCCAACATCATACAGGAAGTATGTGGCTGAGCAAGTCCAGTCTGAGACTAGCACCTTAAGCACTAGATCATCTTTCTTTCCTTGTGAATAGGAATACTGTTGTTAGTCCTCTAGTCTTTGGTTCCTGCTATGCTCAGAGACTGACAGCAAAAATCTTACTACTATTGCCCTGAACTGTGGGTCCCAGTGCACTAAAGCAAACATATTTGTTCGTTAATAGGTACTTCCTTGTGCATTGGGTGGTTGCTTCATCTACACCAGAGTGTGCTTATCTGTGCACTGGGTGAATCCTAGTGCCTTGTTGTAGGTACAAATGTGCATATTGATTTGGTGAGTGAACAGTTGTGCATTATGGGGTGGTGCACTCATCTATGAGTGTGTATTGTTGCATGTATCCATCCATGATGGCTTAATTAGCGTGTTAAGGCATGGATTTTGTGGGTAGATGTTTATTTGAGCACTTCTGAGCTCTCAGGTTTCAGAGTGGTAGCCGTGTTAGTCTATATCAGCAAAAACAACGAGGAGTCCTTGAGGCACCTTAGAGACTAACAAATTTATTTGGGCATAAGCTTCTGTGGGAGAGCCAGAGACTGAACCCTAGCTCCCTGGAATTCAAGATTGTGCTACTTATCTTTTGCATAAGTAAGAGTTGAAGTATGGGTGGGAGGGATTACTCTTCCTGGTCTCCCTGTGAACCTTCAGCATCATCCTGTCAGGGCAGAGACTCTAACCTTCTTCTGTTTCTTCTTTGCTCCCAATTCAGCCAGAAAAAATTCATGACTTGGGGAAGAACAAAGCTTGAGAAACAACATCTGGAGAAGCACCTCTTCTTTGGAACCTCAGCCAGAAATGTGGAGCCCATTTGCAAAACAAACTTCAGCCAGTTCCTCCCGGAACAGCACAGCCCTATCTTTGGCCAGGGCATTTATTTCTCATTGAGAGCAGATTATTCAAATAGATACTCCCGTGCAAAGAAAGGTGGGATGCGCTACATGTTCCTGGCCAAGGTTTTGGTGGGCAAGACTGTGGCTGGGAGAGCACATTACCGCCGGCCCCCAGAACAGAAGCCTGGTGGGCAACTCTATGACTCATGTGTCAATAGTGTGAGCAAGCCCCAGGTGTACGTGGCCTTTGACAACTTCCAGTGCTACCCTTACTTTCTTATCCACTACAAGCTCCTCTCTGACCCTGTGGTGCTGTACAGCTGATGACACAAGGAAGAGGTGCTTTTCTCCTCTCTCTGAATCATCCACATAATGACTTTTACCATCAGAGCATGAAGAGGGTTGGTTTTAGCCCTTCACATTCCTTTGACCTATGCTCCTTGTAAAGGATTCTACAAACTGTTCCTGGGCATACAGAGAGTGCTGGCTGCAAGTGCATGTAGGCTGGGATTTTGAAAGGTGCCTAAAGGAATTAGACACCCAACTCCGATTGAATTAGAATGGAAATTTGGCACCTGACTCCCATTCAAATTCACTGAGAGTTGTATACCCCACTCTTAGAGTGGGATTTTCAGAGGAGCCCTTAATCCTTTTAATATATGGAAAAACATACCCCACTAATTTCCACAGTATTCCTCTACCACCTCCTTGTATTCTCATTGATGATCCCCTCTATTCTTTCCCACAATCCACATTTACCCACCTCTGACTTTACCCTGGTCACCTCCAATTCATTTCACCATCCATCTAAATAAGAATGGCTGTGTAAGATGTCCCCTCTGGATTCCACTAAAAAACTGTTTTGTATATTGGCCAGAAGGAGGCACTGTTGCATGAAATGAAGCCATTCTTTCTCAACCTGATCTCTGGAGGGTCTTGTGGACCATGATGTGTTCCTCAAGTACATTAAAAATGCCACCCTTCTGTTTTTGTGAAATATCAACACCTTCCTCTCTCTAAAAACACTCCTCCCCATGTGAGTTATCTGTCAATAATGATTGTTCAGTGCAGCCTGCTCTTAGTATAAATGTTGGGGGTGGGATTGCTAAATTTGTTTATATTAAATACTTGTTTAAATTATTGTTACTATAATGGCTTTATTTGTTGGTAAGGGGTTTTCTTGGATTATTAAAACTAGAGACATGTTAATAGTTAATTTACAAAATGTGTGTGTGTCAAATTAACTTCTGTATCTGATGGGGGGAGTCCACAGACTTGGGCTTGTCAGAGTTTCTAGTGGGTCAGGACTTGCTCCAGGCAAAAGTGTCTCACACCATCTCCCCCTTGCTGCTGGAAAACCTCCCTGGTTCTCTTGCACTGGCCCCTCCTACCTGATCCATAAATCCGCTAGAAAGCAGCTGTTTTCAAGCATCTCTTCAAGCAATTTTTGGCACCTACACTGTTTTAGCAAGAAGCTGGGGGAGGTAGGAACTGTCCATTTTTTTGTGGGTTCACCTGTTTGCCACCTCATTGAAATAGCCTCCCTCTAGAGTTTATTCATTCAATCAGGGCCAGATTCTGATACCCTTTACTCATAGTATGAACCTTATTCTATCACTTCAGTGGGATTAAGGCAAGTAATGACCATTGTGATCACCTTGTCTGATCTCCTGCATAACACAGGCCATAGGAATTCCCTGAAATAATTGCTTCTTCAACGCCAATAGCTGTGGTTGAACTAAAGTATATATCTTAGAAAAAACACCCAATCTTGATTTAAAAATGGTCAGTGATGGAGAATCCACCACAACTCTTGGTTACTTGTTCCAATGGTTAATTACACTCAGCATTAAAAAAATTGCACCTTATTTCCTGTCTGAATTTATCTAGCTTCCACTTCCAGCCTTTGGATCTTGCCATACATTTGTCTGAGGAACTGAAGAGCCTTTTTTTACCATGTAGGTACTCACAGACAGTGATCAAATCACCCCCCCCCCCTTTTTTTTTTTTTTTTTGGATAAATAGATAGATTGAACTCCTTGGGCTAGATTCACAAAGAAATGTAGGCATGGCAATGTTCAGCATTGCCACACCTAACTGTTAGGCACCTAGAAAATCATTGTACTTTACGAGGCTTGAGTTAAGTGCCTAGGCTCCCTATACAATGAATGCAGAGAGAAAGCCACCTCTGAATGGGATTCACAAAAACCAGCATGCTAGATAGTTTCTTGCCTAAAATAGCCAGTGGGAGCTGCCAAGGTGAAGGGTGTGTGCTCAGCCCCACCCTTCTCTCTGAGAAGTGCACCTAAATCCTGGCTGTAGGGAGGGCCTCCCTCTGCTTGGGATTCTCAGCTGCAAACCCTCTCTTGGTGTTAAGAATCTCCACTGTTTTTGCAAGGAGCTGGGGGACGAGAAGTATCTCTCTCATAACTTTTACTCTAATGGTTAGAGTATTCACCTGGATGTGGGGGAGCCCTGATTCAAGATCCTCCTTCTGAGGGGAAGAAGAGATTTGCTACCTGAGCGGTGAGGGGTATGAGATATTCTTATGTGAGGCTTCCTCAGTGTTTCCTGCTGAAGCTGTTCCACTTTGGAGTAAAAATGAAAGAATCAGTGGGCCAAAGAGATTGATGCTGAAGCCCACTGGTTAGCACACTCACTTGGGAAGTAGCAGCGCCATGCTCCAGTCCTCCTGCTCCAATGAAATAAAAACATTTTTTATCCAAATGCTATTGTCTCCTATTGTGCGTGCTTCACACACAATTTCTCTCACATGCAGCCTAGGTCTGGTTTCAGTGTAGAAGCCACAGTGCAGGTGGATGGAGTGAATGCATGAAGTGGTTGGGTGGCTCCAAAGGCAGGAATACTGGGATGGTTTTAGTGTGGAGAATATTTCCCAGTTACTGTTCTAGAAAAGTTTTCTAAATAAAACACGTCTGTTTAAAATGAGAAATTGACTCCAGGACAGTTTCTCTGTATTTGTCTTTAGGAATTTAAAGGAATGCTAATCAAGGACAGCCCCCCAGCCTTGCAGCAGGAGGACAAGTAGCTGTGAAGCAAAGCACAATTGTTGTGTTCTGGGTGTTAGCAATACAACACATACAAGTGTGTACTATAAATGGAAAGAAGCCAGCATCATGCACTAGTAAGAGGGCAGGCCCAAGTACAACATAAACAAAACTATCATGATGACTATTAACGTTAACTTGGGGGGGGGGAGGTTTAAAATAAACAAAAACAAAGGTGTAAAAATTAACCCATTTCCCATCTTAAGCTGCTTCCTCCTTCTATAAAGGAGGGCAAACCATTCCCTTCTACTTCCATACGTGGGGCAGGCATGAGCCACAGACTACAGACACCCTGAGCAGCCTGCCTGTAGACTGCATCCTCTATTTGAGGAAGCCCTTCTCTGCCTCCAGGTACTGGGTATGATGGCACTTTTGGGCCTCCCCACCTTTTTGCAGGCAGTGACAGCCTACTCTTGCAGTACATGGGCCTGTGACTGCAGCTCCTCCCTCTATTGCCCCATAGAGGAGAGTAGCTCCATAGTCTGCTCCCTCACAACTTCCAGATGCAGCTGTGCCTGGCCCACTTAGTGAGGACAAGGGCTGGGTGAGGCATTGGGGCTGCATCTGGGGGTGCAGAGGAGTGGGGGCTGAGGAGCCAGCCTGATATTGGGGTGGGTGGCAGATACTAAAGGGATGGCAATTCCAGGATGGGGCCTATGGGGCCTCTCCAAGCACTTCTGACTGCTTCCTTCAGAGATGGAACCATAGGGCACAGGTTCTGGACTGCCCCCACCCCGAGTCAGGTAGGTGGGGTGCTTAGTGGTGGAGTCTGGCAGCCACATTTGGCTGCCCAGACACCACTAAGACATACTCCCAAAAATTGGAGTATCTTCTTCTGGACTGGTAAGGGAGGGTGCATCCAGTCTCTTTGCCTCCCCACTCCCTCCTCCTCATCTGCCATCCTAGGAAGTATTTTATTTGTGAGCTATGAGTCCTACTCACTCTTTCTCACCATCATCTTACCACTCTGATTGATGCATTAAAAATTGAATTCCAAGTGGCCACTGCTGGACTTCCTGTCAGGTCAGAACTTTTCCTTTAGAAAATATTGAAATGTTTTGTCAATAAGGTCATCATAATGTTTCCAAATCAACATATTTTGCAAGATTTCATTCTGCAAAAAATGTTGAGATTTTGACTTCTCATCCCAATTTGTGACAAAAACAAATGTCAGAATTTCTTGGGGAATGGAAATTCCATTTGAAGACCAGCTCTAGTTTCTAGGCCTCATGGTTGCAAAGAAAAGTTGGAAAATGTGACCCAAGTGCACCGTAAATGCTCAGAAACCAGATGGCAAATAAAAAGAACCCCACATGTATTTATTTTAAGATCTCATGATTTTTAAGCCAGACTCATCACTTTTGGGGCATAATAAATGATTTTTGAATGCTTAGGGTTGACAAGACTGGGAAGAGGTAAATGTGATGCCCAAGCATGATGGTAAGAGATGAACATCTCAATTCAGTACAGCAGAAACATTAGGTAGAGCTAGTTCCCTCTTATTCATATATTTTCCCTACCTGCTGATACAGTAGCTGCTGGTTGGTGTCACAAGGACTAAGGTAAATCACTTTCTAAGTAGCCATAGTTCTGTGGATGAAACACCCTGGTTCGGTGACTCCAGGGGAAAAGTCTCTCATTCTTTCTATTTTGCTAGCTCTGGCACATATTTTTGCAACACGCAGGAGACGTGACTGAGGAACCACAGGAAACTTGCTGGCCAGTACAGACTGTATGAAAGGGAACCAGTCTCACCTCAGACTATATCCCTCTTATTTTTGAGCCCATGTTTCAAGTGGCCTCCTGCCTCCATTTCTCACAGCACTATCACACATCCTTAACTAGCTCTGACTACAGAGCAAGTGAGATCTCTCTGTGTCTGCCATTCCCACCACAAGGCCCCAGTGTAGTTGGCATTGTGTGCACCAGTATCCCCCCAGCACAGATATATTTATAATAAAGAGATTATCTGAATTAGGGCAGGGGTTCTCAAACTTCATTGCACCACACCCCCACTTCTGACAAGAAGAATTACTACACAACCCCAGCAGAGGGGACCAAGTCCTGAGCCTGCCCAAGCCCTGCCGCCCCAGGTGGTGGGGCCAAAGCCAAAGCCCCAGCACCCTAGGCAGGGGGACTAAAGTCAAATCCCAGGGGCTTCAGCCCCAGGCAGGGGACCTGAAATCTGAGCTCTGCTGCCCAGGGCTTCAGCCCTCAGGCTTCAGCTTCAGGCAGTGGGGCTCAGGCTTTGGCCCTAGGAAGTCTAAGCTAGCCCTGGTGATCCCTTTAAAATGGGGTCATGACCCACTTTGGAGTCTCAACCCACAGTTTGAGAACTGCTGAATTAGGGTAATGCCTATAAACCCCAAACAAGGATCAGGGCTCTACTAGGCTATATGCTGCACAGAGAGATACCAAACAAAAGAGCCCGTGCCCCAGAAAGCTTACAGAATGAGGGTCAGACAGGCCACATAAGGTGGACAAAACAGACAAATGGCATTGGGGAAAGCAGGAGAATGAGATAACA